CCGGGTGGGGGTTCCCACTGGGGTGCCTGGCCAGTCTGGGTGAGGGGCTGAGTGTTGTTTTCAGGCCGACTGAAGCTTCCAACTGCTCCTTTTTTTCTTTTCTTTTTTTTTATTCTGGGCCAGCTTTAGCTCTGGCTCCACCTCTGAGGCTTCTGCTGCTGAAAGAAGGTATCTGGTTTGTTTCGGTTCTATAGTCGAAACTGTATCAACTCCAGCTCTGAGATCCCGTCCCCGGCCTCGCTGAAAGCAGGTTTCTGGGGTTTTGTTTAGCTTCTACATTCGTTACAATGTTTCTTAAACTAAAGCAAGCAAGCCTCATGTTAGTTTCAAGCTGCCTGGCTGCGGGCCGCCATCTTGGCTGACAGTTAATTTGCATACCTCACTGATTAGCCAATGGAAAGGGTAGCGGTCATACTCCAATTACCATGTTTCTGTTTTATCAGATAGGCTATGTAAAAATCTTACAATAATATACAGTATATACTAAAATACTAAAGTTATTATTTTAATTTGTTTATTGACTTTGAAATATTCTGTCCCACAGTCAGAGTCTTGAATAACTACAGAATCAACTGTAGAACTACTGTGTACTAATTAAAAGAGTTGATATAGAACAGTTCTATTTTGAAAGCTGCTCAAATTTATATATATAATTCTCTGTCCCTTTTCTCTTAGGTAAATGCGTAATTTCTTGACTTAATGTGTTCATCATTGCATAATGAAAATAACAGATTAATTGAAAAGGAATGCATGGCTTAATTATAAATACATCTACATCACATTTGCTAATTTCCAAAATATAAGCCATTGAATATGGAACTAATATTAAATATGCAAAGTGTATAGTCAGTCCAGAATCTGTGTCTTTCAAATTTTGAGTGTCAGAATTTCTAGGAATGTACATCTTATATAAAATTAATACACAATAGAACAAAATTATCACCTCTGTCCTACTTATTTTATTTCACTGAGTTAGTTTTAGAGTATTTTCAAATTCATCTAAATTCTTTTAGTATTATAGATGGGTTTCTCCACTCATCCACCCATTCATCCATCTACCCACTCATCCATGCAGCAAATATTTATAATCTTCTACATGAAATGTAAATTTGTAGGCACTGGAAATAAAATACTAAATAAGATAGACATAACATTGCTAATTGTGTTTATAGCATATCATTGAATACTGATAATTAGGGAAACAACCATATGAAGAGGATTTAATCACTTAGGAAGCATAATTTCCCAGAGCGAACCTCTTTCTGTCTAACTAATAACCATTTTCGTTTGAATCACACCCTTCTCTTATGACTCTGCATGAAACACAGAAGTATTTGAGTGAGTTTTATGGAACATGTTTAGGGTCGCATGTGGGTAGATGCTGCCATCAAAGATGTTTCATGTGTAAGAGGGACTGATGAAGTGAAGCGATAGCATGCCCATGGGAACAGAAGTGGAAAGTGGAGGCTCACAGGGACGTGCCGCCGCAGGTTGGTTGGTGTACTGGATGTAGAGGAGCTGGTGCTGAGAGCGTTCTCAATGTCCTGGTCTAGTTGGTCCAGTTTCATAATTAGCAGCACCATGGAGTCAAGCCGCGCCCTGTCTCGATCTTCTTTTATTTCCTGAGGAACAGAACATGTTGTTATGAATCTAAAAGGCCATTTCTTGGAAAGAATAAGCAGTGCCCTGTTCTTCCATGTGACAAAAAGGACACTGAATAATAGGCAGTCTTCTACTTAAAGGGAAAGAGAAGTTCTGTTCTGCACCATCAATGGTCTCTTCATTGGGAAGATACTAACCAACTGCCAAGAAAGCATTTGACATGAATATTAAATGCATACCCTTCGGATCAAGGCGCAGTGAAAAGGAAGTACAACATCAATGAGCACTGATACATATGTACGACTTTCCAATGAATTATTCTTAGGAAAAGTTATACTTCTCTTGTCCAGGACAAATCCATTGTAACATAGTAATAAATTATTTGTGGTTAGACATTTAAGGAGACACATTAGAGAATATTTTTGGAAGACTACTTCTGAGTATAGGAAAAAATAGGAACCAAATCTAATGAGGCAGGTTTTCAGTTTGGGCAGAGAACAAGTTTTTGTTTCATTTTGTTGTTGTTGTGTTTTTTTGTTTGTTTTTTTTTTTTTTTTTGCATGGGGCCATTTTCCTAGTGTTGCTTCAAGCTTTTATTGTCAATATTTTTTAGCAATCTTCTTTCCTACTCACAAACTTTTGAAAAAAGCCCACACAATCATATACATTTTTGTAAATTATGTTGGTTACTCATTCTAAATTCTCTATAATATAGACATATATTAATGAAAATACTGTTGCTTATAGAAATAGCTAAAGCTTCTTATTTACTAGAGTTATTTGGGCATGACTGCTTACTATTCTTGGATGTTCAAATCAAGTCAACTAATATTAGAAATCTTCCAAATTCCTTGTGTGCTGTGTAAGGTATCAGGGTTGGGTAGATATTGGGGGGAAAAAAAGATCAGGAAAAGCGCAGTAAGATTCTATTGAGGGATGCAATGGACTCAGGGAGAACCCTTTGAGGGAAATTATCATTTGTGACTCATGTTGCCATCTTCTCATCTGTCTGAGATATCTACCTAAGTGAAATCTGCTTGGAAAGGACCACCAGTGGCAACCTCAAAGGGAAATAAATCACAACAGAGGCCTAAAGGGTGTGGGTATAAGGGAACAGGTTGGAGCTTTTGCTTAGGTGATGGCATTACTAGTGGCATGACTGAGCTGACTATCTGAATCAGGTCTTTTAGTTTGTTTTTTGACTTTTTTCTTTTAATCTTCCTACATTCCCAAGCCACTGTTAGGAAGAACCATGAAAGAATAAGGTCTAGGGCAATTTCATGGATTAATCTAATTCTATAGGGGTCTCTGTACCTCAAACAACTAGAGCAGATTGTTAATGTTATAAAGAATTATCTTTAAGATGTCAAAGAATTGATTTCCTAGATTAAGTTGGTTAAAGAATCATTAATTAAGTTAATATATAGATAAGTTATTTGTGCTTATCTATATACGAGAGGCCCAATGCACGAAATTCGTGCAAGGGGCTCGGCCCTCGCAGCCCCAGCTTCGCCTGGAAGGTTGTCTGGATCATCACGCTGTTTGGCCGTTCAGTCGATTTGCATATTACACTTTTATTATTATAGATTAACTTAATGATTAAGCTAAACTTGTGCTTCGTTAACAGATTAATGTCAAAGTGAAAGAACTAGTACTCTTTCCACAAAGACATTAATTTTGAGAATAAATTAAGAATAGATTATACAGTTTAATTCTCTTCTTGATAATCCAGAAAATGGAAAACTCTGACTGAATAGAAGACTCAAAGTCCCCTTAATTATTCCTTCAATGTGTTTGCTTGTATAATTCCTTTCCTTTAAAACCAAAGTTGTCTGACAAGGTATTGTTCTTTGCATCTCTTTAGTCACAGTTTTTGTGTGATTGTCTTTTGCTTCCAAGTTGTAACATCTTCAGGCACAAAAGTTATATTTTTCTACCTGGCACACATAGAGTCCAATTACACACACTGCCCATGCAAGATGTTTTCAGGGATAAGAATAATGAAGTCAATAGGAGCCAGTGAAATAACACCTCCCAAAGCCTTAGAAAATATATTTTGATATTTTTCCAGCTACTAAATTAATGTTGGGTAAAGCAGTGTATCCTGTAGCAGAAGTCTCAGAAACAATTTGTTTTTGAATTAATGTTGAGATTGTGCCTTAAAACCACTTTCAAAGCCATGGGCTGAACATTAAATTACTTAAAATGATTTGCCAAAAGAAATAAAACCAAACAGCTCTGGTCTGCAGTATTTCTTTAGAGAAATAGCCTATTGTTTTTCCCTTTCCTTCATGATGCTTCTCCTTCATCGCCAGTCATTCCATTCAGCCTGAAGTGTCAAGTACACAGGTCAGTAGCACATGTTACATACACGTCCATAAAACGTCACGAAATAGAGTTGACTACAAATCAGATGCTTTGGATAAGTATTATTGTTCTTGTTTTTAAAGCTCAAGTATTGATAGTTTTCAAGGTGCTAACCTTTCATACGTCCATGGCTGAGCTCCAGTAAATAGCTTATGCCCGAAAACAGAAATGTGCACTTGCAGATTTTGGCTACATTCACTTCTACAGTGGAACTTTCATTGCATGCTGTCATTCCTGTCCATGAAGAGAAACTAACTTCTTAAGAAGTGAAGCTGCCTATTAACAAACTTTTCAGTATTTCAGTAACTTAACCCCCTTAAATCAAGGCCAAAATGCCAAATTCTCTTCCCTCCCATCTTTCCTTCCTTCTCTCCTGCAGTCATAGCTGTATCCAACCACTATTAAAGGGATACAATATTCATCAGTGAATAACAAGTATAAAATCGCTGCTTTCCTGAATATTATAGTCAACCATGAGAAGATGAACAATGAAAATTAACATATTCTCAAACAAGACAAATATATGAAGAAAATAAAATGGGTGCTGAGATACACAGTAACTTTGGGGGTAGTGTCTCACTTTGTGTAGGGTGGTCCAAGAGAGATTTCTGAGGATGTAGAGAGAGACAGAGACAGAGATGGAGGTGGGAGGTGGAAATGGAGAGAGAGAGAGAGAGAGAGAGAGAGAGAGAGAGAGAGAGAGAGAGAGATATTAAGGCATCATGTATGTTCTTTTCAGCTTCTGCAACCAGGTTCCCATCCTTCCAAAAACTATATTTTAGAAGAACACCAATGATCACAAATCAATTGCAAAAAACGTTTAAAACATCTAGTCCAGGTCTTTACTTAACAATTATCCAAGACATGTTTATTGGCCATCTACTATGTGCTATATATCATTCTCTAGGAAGCTACCTACCTCGTATTTGTACAGTTACAATCTTAGGAGTGTTACAAAGTCAAATTCTGCCTTCCTCTAACTCCCCAAGTCCTTCCTGCAGAACTAGATAGCATAACAGTGTCCGTTCCCTGAAATAGCCTTTCAATTATTTGAAGAACTAAGTTATGCCCACTTTTACCTTTTCTAGGTGGATCATCTTCAGTTCTTTTCATTATTTCACATATAACATGCTTCCAAATTTTCACTAGTTTTGTCAACTGTTCTCTGGACATGATAAAATTTTGTCCATGACCCAAGTAATGGTTGGTGCCCAGAGTTAACACATTACTGTATGTGTTCTCTGACCAAGGCAGAGGAGGCAAGTACCTCCCCCCATGTTTTGTACCCTTTTTAATGCAGCCTAAAATGAAGGGCCTGTTTAGAACACGGGCAGGCTATTCTTATTGGGATAGCCCTAATCTGCTTTTTGAATGAAGAAACAGAGTTTAGTGGACTGTGAGCTGACTTTGAGCCGGCGGTATGATCTATGCCTCCTTTTCCCAATATGTGCCTGCGTCCTGTTAAGAACAGAAACATCCTGTTGTCTCGAGAATGTAACCAGCTGTTGTCAAGGTATAAACATATGTAGCTACCATTGGGAAAAAGTCTCTTTCAGACACAAGTCAGTGGCTACTTAGCCAAATCAGGAGAGAGACTTCTGTTCAATTGGATTTGTTATCAAAACCTAATATGGCTAAGCCACCTGGTGCTCACTGAGAAATTTGAAAGATGCTCCTTATTTATTTCAACAGCTATTGGGTCCATGGGCAGTGAAGCCACTTTGATCACCTGGCATCCGGGGGGGAGATATACAGGGCTTTTAGGGGGTCGTCCTCTCCAGGAAGCCTCTGAACAGGGGCCTATACTACCCTTCTTTCCTTGCATCGGGGGAAGAGAATTCCAACCTGCTTCTTTCTTCAGATGCTCTTTATTGAACAATACAGGACACAGCACAATTGGGGGGTGGTGAGGCGATGCAAATGACCAGGCATTTTACAGACTGGGCAGATATGAAGACCAGTGAAGCGGGGTGCCTCCCCCAGAGGCCCACAGGTTCTATTTTCCTAATCTAAGCATTTGGAAGAAAAACAAAACAAAAAAAATTTTTTTTTTTCCAGTAAAATACCCAGATGCTTCCAAAGAGTGGATATTTGGCTGAGCAAATACAGCATTGCCTGAATGTTCTGCTTGTCAATGAGTTGTGGCATCAGAGACAGCCATAATAAATTAAAGGCTAGGCCAGGAATAGAACTAAGACTTCCTGATTCATAATCCAAGGTTCTGGCTCCTACACTGTCTTTGATTCCATAGGCATCTTACTGGCTATTCTGGGCTGGTCATGCTCCCTGCTCCCCCGTGAAAGAAAGGGACCTTTTAGCAAAAGACTTGGCTCAACTTTCTTCTGAATTATTTGATCTGTAGCCAGCTGGACTAGTATGAAATCTCATATTAGTGTTATACATTTTATTTGACAATAAATTCCTCATTCTAGACTTTCCTTTCTTAAAATAATATCCTGCCTGAAGAACCAGAAGTTTATTTACTCTTTTTTTCCTTCACAAGCAGTAAAGATTTTTCATTTGGATCGACAGTAAGATAGAGTTAATACAATTATCCTATGTCAGAGTCTCTGGGCAAGTTAAACAAAGTCAGCCTTAGTTTTTTATTCCTGTGCATTTCAAGCTGCAACTTATGCAGAAAGGGAGGCAAGAA